CCTGCCTTTTGCTCCACAGCGCAGGGGCCCACGTCCCTCGCCCTGGGTCGCTGCTCTGCTCCCCGTCTCCATGCACATAACATCTGTCATAATGTGGATAGGATTCTGCTGTCGCTACAGCTGGGGGTCTGCTCTTGTCACTTAACACATTTGCTCGGGGTAAGGGATCCTCACAAACATAACGTCAAGACTGCTTACACCCTTTCAAGTACACGTACCTTAACCACACACCTGCTCTGTTAGGTATGAGGTTTAGTCCCAATTTTCCTTTTCACAGCTAAAATGCTGACAAACGGCTTTATCAAAATTTCTGTGTCTCATGTTCCTTGGTTTCTCCTCAGCACCTGCCGGATCACCCCCCTGAGCAGGGACTGGAGGGCCTGAGGCAGATGGCGCAGGCAGAGGCAGGGCTCAGGGCGCCTGAGGCCAGCCAGGCCACGACCAGGGTGGGGGCAGGGTGGGGTGGTTCCACAGCACCCACCGGCGGGACACAGCAGGACAAGTCAGGCTCCAGAGTGCTTGCTGACGCCCGGCCGCTTCCAATGTCCCGCTGGAGAGAGAGGTCCAGGGCTCTGTCCCCACAGCGGAGGCTGGCTGCACGCCAACACGGGAGGGGACGGAGCTGAACCTGAGCTATAGGAGGGTCGTGGGCGACAAGGTCTTTCCGGTGGAATCCAGGCCACCCCACCCCGCCTCACCCGGCGGGGCGCAGGGCCACTCGCCCACCACAGTGTCTGATCACACGCGTTCCCAGGTGCCATACAAGCTTCCTGGCAGATAATGGAGATGTCGTGACCTGGTGTCTACCCATGTCCCATCCGACGTCCTGAAGCCTGCGTACGTGGACACATACTTCCTGACGAGGCCGCACACAGCCGTCAGGGGCTGTGCTGCCTGTGGTGGCCGGGCCCTGCCGTCCAGCCACTCGCTCCCCTCCCTGTGCCTCCCATGCTCACCTGCAGAGTGGGGCTGTTGGCAAAGACACCTGTCTCGAGGGGCACGACTCAGCGCGTGGAAAGCATTTACAACTCATGACCCACAGGACGTACCGAGTAAGTCACTGGTGTGATTATCTCTGTATCCGGCACCTTTTGATCATGTGTTGTGACTTGTTTGTGCCTCTGCCTCAGTAAAGACCGCGGCACACCGTCTTCTCACCCGCCCACACCCTGCCTTCTGCGCATAATCCCCGTGGACTTTCCAGCTGTCTGCCTTCAGCAAGATGCTGCTCATGGTACAGGCTCTGACGGCAGCTGGGGGATGCCTGCTTCCCGGGGGGGCCCTTGCACGGACCTGGAATGGACTTCCAACAGAATTCAGCTACGGGAACGCTGTCCCTGCTGCCATGTCACACCGTGTGGACTGCCGTGCCCTTGCTGGCTAAGGAGGCTTGAGGCGCCTGGGGGACCCCACGTGGCAGGGACTGTGGGTCCTTGCAGCCCGGTGAGACCCTCAACAGACCAGTCCCCCGCCCTACAGACACATAAGCACACGTGCTTCAAGCCACTCAATGTGTGGAAATGCAGTTGTTCCGCGATAGGTACGTATACTCCCGATCCTTCCTCAGACCGCAGGATTTCTGCTTCTAACAGAAGAATGCATCTGTCAGGGAAACAGCCAACATTTCTTGTAATATTCATTAATTGGTCGGCTGGTTTCCGTGTTCTCCTGCATTGCAGCAGAGGGCATGGCTTCCAGCCACCCTTCCTGGGCTAAGCCTGGGTTCAGTGGGAGCCACGGATGCCTCACCTGTCTCATCCCACCAGGTGGAGAGCTGACAAAATGGCTTCTTGGCTTTCATGTGAAACGCCGGAATGGCACACAACACATACGCTTAAGGTTCAGGTTCAAAAAGAGAAGGAAAAAGAAAATCTAAAGCACATAAGTTCCTTTGGCCATGAAGGTAAAACCAAAGCCACCAGTCCCAGCCGATCCGTAGGGTCCGCCACCCCAGGGCCAGAGCTGCTGGAGACAGGCAGGCCGACCCTCACGTCTACGGTGGCTGCCAAGGAGTGCTTACGCTTCTCCTCCCCGAGATTTTACCTTGAACCTTTCCTTCAAGATGTTCATCAAACTACATTATGGAAAGACCAAAATGCATAGCAGAACAGGCGGGAGAGTGAAGGGGGTGCCCGGAGTGGAGGTGTGTCTCCAGCCCCTCCCGCTTTTCCTGCTGGATGGACTCCTCCGAGGGGACAATCACAAGGCAGCAGAGTGGCATCTGTCCTCAGCCTGGGAGCACTGGGATGGCACCGTCATAGTCTGACTTCTACATTCACTTCTACGTGAACAAAATTCACTCCCAGCACCTGGGGGCTGGACCGTCCTGCGTTCCCTGTGATGGACCTGAGGGTCTGGTGACAAGCTCCACGAAGCAGCTGGAAAGAGCCTCACTTTTCTGGATGAGAAAGAAAATGTGCTTCAAGGAAACAGGCTGGACAGGAGCCAGGAAGTTGGACTCAAGGAGACCCAATTCCACTTTATGCTTCTGCCTCTTGGAAAGGTCCCTTGGAGTGACAGGAAGCCCGTAAGATAGCTGGAGCCGGCACAGCAGCCTGGCCCCCTCAGGGTGACAAGAGCTGTTCTGAAGGGTCACTCCACGGTCAGAGCTGCATTGGGTGGAGGCTTGGACGAACGGGCCCGCTGAGACCGTACTGCTGGTCGACCTTCCTCTCTACCCAACCCTGCGGCCTCCCATCCCAGGTCTGGTCCGGGAGCCTCCTCGACAGTGCCTGGTGCCATGTGCCAGCTCCGGGACGCGTCCAACCTGCCACGGCTGGAATCCACCGACGGGGAGTGGGGGGGTCGGCAGGCCAGATGGCGCTCTACACGATGGGGGCCGTGGAGCCTGACTGAGCAGGTGACACCCATCTCCAGGGTGTGTTCTAGCTGCAGAGGGGACATGAGCTGCGAAGGGAGGCCAGACCGAGAAAAGAGGACAGCCCGGGTGTATAGACAGCTGCTAGCCACCCCTGCCTCAATACCGTAAGGCTCTCCCCACGCTCACCTGGGCCTCTGTGGACCGCTGTGTGATTCATGTTTCTGTGCACGACACGTAAATACACACGCAGATTTGCTTCACGAGACTCACAGGAGCTACCTTCGCAGGAGAGAGGGCCACATTCCCAGCCTTCGGAGCCAGCAAGAAAAGGTGTCCTTAAATGATGGCGGGATCACGGGATGCTGCTGTCACGGCTAGCCTCTGGACCTTAAGCAGTTCTTACACAAACTCCAGAGTTCAGAAACATTATAAGAGGCCAATCCTGGGGAAAGCAGTTGGGGAAGACGAGTGGAGGCCGGCCGTCTGCAACTGCCTCCCTGCCCAGCTGCCGTCGCTCCGGCCCCACGTGTCTTGTCTGTTCGCTACTCTGGTCCTGGTCTCTGGCGTCTTCTCCAGCACGAGCCACTGAGCCTGTCTTCCAGGAGGTGTTTCTGCAGCTAGAGGAAAGTACACTAACAGGAACACGCTCTCCGGGAGCTGTGCTGGGCTGGGGTAGAAGAGGATAAGAGGGTGCAGGCCACGTCCCCGACAGTCGGTGCCTTGCGCCCACTCACGTCTCCATCCCGCGAGGAATCCGCTTGGCCAGTGGGGCCCTGTGGCCTGGAAGCTGCGTCACCAGGCAGCTGGTATGGTGCCCACTTCCTGCAGCTTACCCAGTTTTCCTCCCAAGACCACATAAGGCACTGGCCCCACGTGATTTTTTCCCCTTCTTCCCTTTTCTTAATAATAGATGTTTTATTAAAACCCGGTTCAGAAGAAAGAGACAGGATTTAAGACATCACTTTTCCTAATGGAGAAGGCTTGTTTGAGGATCCAATCTTCCAGAAACGTCGGTCTTCACTCTAATGATTCAGGCTAAGTACCAGGACGGACTTCGAACACTCTCCCAATCCCGGCCCCGCAGGGCAGCTCGCCATTCTGTGCGCACACGTGACCTCCTTCCGTGCAGCGACTCTGCCCTGACCTGCGCTCCCCGCGGCCACTCCGGAGGCAGGCGCGGATGAGGCGTGTTCTGGCTCTCCGTGGACAGTCCGCTGCTGTGCCCAGTACGGCACACCCCAATTCCCCCCACAGACCAGAATATTCCTTCCTGATTTCCCTTCAGTGGATGAGGGCAGTGAGCCTACAAACCTGTCCCTGGTTCTCTGGGTTTTCAGTGCCGGGGAAAGCGGTCGTACACATATTTAAAAAAAAAATCACTAGTGGAAATAAGCCTGGCTGTGAAAACACAGCACGAGTGACCTGCTGTTTCTAAGTGTCTGCATTAGGGTTTCCCCACGGGCGGACACAGCTCGGACTCACTCCTCTGCGGGCACCCCATTTCCATACTGCCCCAGACTCCGCCCGTGGGACAGAAGCGAGGAAACAGAGGGAACCGATGCCTTCTGGTACAACGCGGGAGTTAAAGAGTTCACGATGGTACCCTTGTTACTATTGTTCCTAGTGGCTCAAGCAGCAACAGCCCCATTTGGGGGAAACTATGACCAACAGTCCTGAAGACCTCACCCGTGCGCACGTGTGTGTGAGTGCACGCACGTGTGTGCTCCTGTGACATCAGTGTACACACTAACTGGTCACGAACCCCACGGTCTCAGGCTGGTGGAGCCGTCTGGCGCTCCAAAGCCCTGTCGGCAGTCTCCCTGAGCCGTCAGTCTCTCTCTCCCCTCCCTGCACCGGTCCCTGCAGGGCCACAAGCTCACGGGCGAGCCTCTCCGGCCCCGGGTCACGGGATGGGTTACGTCTGGACGTGTGGTCCCGCTCCATCTTCAAAGACCTGCCAAGGCACCTGTGCCCTGGAAGGAGACTCACGCGTCCCGTGTGCAGAGACCTTTACGTAGGCCTTCACCTACTCATCAGCACCACCTGGGTCTCCAAGCTGGTGGCAAGTCCTGTCTGTTTCATGTCATTCCATGAAACTCGTCCTGCCATAGACATGGACAGAAACCAAGCCACTTAGAGAATGTCACACCGTCGGGTACGGCCCGGCCGGGACACTTACCACATGGCGTGCATGTAAGTGGGGGGCAGGCGTGGGCTGCTGACCGGGGTGCAGTTATAGGACCTCATGATCCTTTCTGCTAGGAGAAAATTTCGAAACAGACTAGCCACCAGCAGGTCCTGTCTGAAGAGCTTTTGGAAGAGATCTGAGGGCAGATAAAACAGGAAAAGGTATTTCAGTGATTCCAGCACTTAAGCCAAACACATAAATTTACGTCCATCAGAACTTTTTACAAGCAGGTTGGGACTAACGGGCACACTGCCCATGGGTCACACACACACACACACTCAAGCACAAACACCAAACGCCAGCCAGTCACTAATGAAAAAATGCAAGTCTTATAGTAGCAGCTTTTAAGAAATCTGGTTTTAAAAAACCTGGATTGTGCCAATTTTTATGAAGAAAAGTGAGTCCTGAGTTCACCTAGAAACGAACACCCTGATGTCAGAGCGAAAGCTCACGTGGGGCTTAGTGTCCGCTGCTGCTCATGGTCCCCGACCCACCGTGACCCATGGAAACCTCTGGGGGCTCTTGCCTCCTCCTCCTTCTCCTCCTGCCCCTCAGCTTTCCTCACTGACAAGACCTCCTTGCTCATCGCAAGGGTAGGTGCCTCCCGATGCGAGCCAGCAGCCCACCCCTGCCCCAAGCTGGCCGGCCGGGCCGCCTCACCCCGAGGGAGCACATTCCATGCGATGGTGTCCGTGATGGCCGTGAAGATCCAGTTCAGTTCTCCCAGGGGCGTCCTCCGGTCGTTCAGCCGGCCAGGAATCCTAGGAGACACAGGGCGCTTCCGTTAGTGACTACCTGGCTACTGTGGAGGGCTGGAGAGAGGAGACGGGGGAAGGAAAGAGGCGGGGGACCGACAGCTCGGAGGGAGGCAGGGGAGGCTCGCCACACTGGGAGAACGGCCTCCAGCCTCCCCTCCCTCCTCCCGGGCGCCCCCGATGCAGGGGACGGACCCAGCGGCTGCACACACCACTCCTGCAGCCTCCACGTACAAGACACGGGCCGTGGATGGGCCCCCAGGGCAGCCCCTGGCATCTGTACAGAGAAGCCCGGCCCAGGCCTGTGGCTCCAGGCTGCGGAAGCACTTTCAACCCAGCCGCCGGGAAGGAAGGCTCGTCCTCTGGGGTCAACTCACCTTCCACTCACTCATCGTATACCAGAGCCCGACTCTGTGGCCAAGCGCAATTTTGGCTCTGGGAGGTAGCGGGGGGTGGGGGGGGGGCCCTCAGTCCGCCGAAGGACAGACGGTAAGCCGTTCAATGCGCATAGCTGTGCCCGCGCGGGGACGAGGCCCACGGGGCAGGGTCCAGGGCACCCGCGACAGGTAAGGAGACGGAGGGCCGCGCTGAGGAGACGCTGCAGCACAGGCCGGTCACACCCAGAGGGAGACCGAGTCAGGCAGAGCCTGGACGTGGGCTTGTGTCTGCTGAGCGGCAGCCCCGGCTCCGCGTGTGACATGCTTAATTAGACCCGACGGGAAGCTCGTTTGTGTTTTCTCCCAAAAGGGAAACGTTCACAGCAATCCGGCTCAGAGACTGAAGTGTGGCCCCTGCTCTTCCTAAGAGTGAACAGACTAGGGATTTCCATCATAGTGGCCGCCTGGTGGCCCCATCGTCGCATGAACGACGCCCAAGCGGCCTCGGCAACGGGCAGCGGGAGCTCCCTCACGGGGGGCGGCAGCGAGGGCGCCCTCCCTCCACCAACCGCTCTTCCTTCAGGAACAAACGATGCTCCCGATTTCCTCAAGTGGCCTTAGTGACAGGACACGAGAAACAAAGGAGGGGCCGGCAAAATATCTGAAGGCAGCATTATTGCTCCAATAGTCTGAACTCTTGAAAAACATTTCCCAAATTAAAAAAAAACCGTGTGTCCACAGGGAGACTCCAGTGTGTCGGAACTGGAAGGCTTTTGCGAACACAGTCAAGCTATTGGCTCTGGCATGGCTAACTCAGAAAGCAAGGTTGTTTTTGTTTTTGTTTTTGTTTTTTAAGATTTTATTTATTTATTTGACAGAGAGAGATCACAAGCAGGCAGAGGCAGGCAGTGGGGAGGGGGAGGCAGGCTCCGCGCTGAGCAGAGAGCCCGATGCGGGGCTCGATCCCAGGACCCAGGACCCTGGACCCTCGGATCATGACCTGAGCTGAAGGCAGAGACTTGAACTCACTGAGCCACCAGGCGCCCTGAAAGCAAGGTTTGTTTTTAGGGAGAGAGTGTGGTGGGGACAGAAGGAAATAATGTTTTTTTAATTAGATTTTATTTATTTTAGACACAGTGGGGGGCAAGAGGGAGAAAAAGAATCTTAAGCAGACTTGGGGCTCGATCCCAGGACCCTGAGATCACGACCTGAGCTGAGACCAAGAGTCAGACGCTCGCCCAGCTGAGCCCCGCGAGGGCCACAATAACCACTCCTACTGGCTCTGTGGGTTGGGCCTAAGGATCCCACCACCGAAGAGAGTCGAGGCCTCCAGGTGAACACTCAGCACAAGGACAACAGGACGGCCCCCCCTCTCAGCCTACATGGCTGTTCCTTTCTCCACCGTCCCCTTCCAAAAGGACAGCACATGCCGGTGGCCCGGTGGCCTGCCCTCGGCCCTGGAGCAGGAAGGCAAGGATCCGTGGACAGCACAGCAGAGCAAATACCGCCAGCCCTCAACAAGCAGCAGCCGGGCGAGCGTGGGGCACGCCCCCCAAGAGAAGATAGCTATGAAACCCGAGCAAACAGCCCGGGAAGTCATTTCACTGGCGTCCTCCTTCTCGGCCCATGAGTGCCAGTGCCAACACCTGGGTTGCTGCCCTGGAAGGAACACGACACTAGGGGCTGATGGGGAGGAGGGGCCTTCGAGAGGGCCAGAGGGCGGGCAGGGAGCCCGGACACGTTAGCCTGGGGCTTGGGTCCTGCATGTGCAGGGGAGGAACACATGCACCGAAACCCTTGCACACAACACACCGTAGGCTCACCAGCCACGACGCTCCACAGTGGCGCTGTCCCGCTTGTGCGCGAGGACTCTCGCTGCAGCTCTGCCGGCCTCTGCACGGTGGCTCGGGGCGAGAAGACGCGCGCCTGCAGGGCCGCATCCCAAGGCTGGGGCCACCTTCAGGACCAGAGGACGCGCGATAGCGGAAGTGTGCGAGGAGCAAGCACTGGAGAAAACGGTGACCCTCCACGTCTCATCAAGGCTTCTCTCTGCCCATTATTCAGAGGTCGCCAGACTGCGACGTGGAGGGCCCGTCCCCACCTCGCACACCTGCTGCAAATGCCATGGGCCCCCAAAGCCAGGAAGGACTCTCAGAACTCAGTGAAAGCGGTGACGCTCGTGGTTATGGCTCACTAGAGAGAACTACAAGGAGCCATCGGAGCCAGTGTGGAGAGGGATGCGTGGGGCAGAGTCCAGGAGAGGTACGGAAGGTGGGGCTTCCATGTCCCCTCCAGCACCCACATGTGACGGGGTGCGCAGCACTCTGCCAACTGGGGTTGGGAGAGCCCAGGGCCTTGGTGGCCACCTCGGAGCCCTGGTTGGCTGCCTGGCTGCCCGTGAGCCGAATCGCAGCCTCGAGGCGGACAGACGACATACTCCAGCCCTAAACTGAAGTCACCCGGTCGGCCTCTCCGGGGGAGCAGGACCCACCCTGAGATGACCGCGTGTGGCCGTCCCCTGCCCGAAACAATGATGCTCCTGTTGGGAATGGTACAGGCATTCTCTCTGTGCCGGCCAAGTTCTCGACTATACACCAACAGTAATCTGTTCACTGTCCAGGACAGACCTGTGCAGCACTAGTGAGCAGGTTTGGGATTCACGTGCCGTGGTGGGCGCAGCTCTTCACTGGACTAAAAGCCCGGAGGTGGGCCCGTGGGAGGCTGGGCCAGGGCGTGCGCGCAGGCCTCTCGGCTGGGTGGCCTAAGGGAAGTGCTGCTTACCTCCACCCCCGCTTTGGACGACAAATCGGCACAGGAGAAGAAAAACCCGACCCGACCGCTGGACGGCACGAGTCAGGGACACGCCGGGCCTCGGACGATGCTCTGGGCGTGGAGCCAGCACCGCCCTTCTGGACCAGCCCAACCTACTAAAACCACCGCAGCAAGTCTGCTTCCAGAAACCAGCCTGAAACGGGACACGAGGAATGGGCCCGTGAGACATGCCGGGTTATTTACAGGGTGAAAAGTCAGAAGAAGCTAGAAACGTTACCAAAATGAGAGAATGAATAAGTAAACTACAAAACAACTGCGTGAAATTACTAGAAGCTAGCAGATTGTAGCTTATGAATATTTCAAGGATATGGGAAACGCACGCTTCAAAACATTAAGTGAGGAGGCAAGACAAATCCCACAGTCAACAGCACACGGGCTGTGCAGGAGGGAGTGCAGAAGATAAACCCCCAAGATACAACCGTGGGGAGGCTCTTCCTGTCTCGTGCACGCACACAAGTACGGTGTACACCCCACTTGAGCAATGGGGAGCAAGCCAAACCCCCATTCCCTCGCCTCCCCGCCCTGGACGCCCGGTGCTCAGGCCAGGGGAGCGGGCAGCTAGTGGGCGACAGGACAGCATTCATGCAAGAGCGTGACCAAGGTCTATCTCCAGACCCCGACCAAGTGCGTCACTGACATGAGCCGGGTCGTCCTCAATCGAGACGAGGTGACCCGGCACAAGCTGGACCCTGTGGGTAAAGAGATGATACACTCCCAGCGGCACAGAGCTGCTGAGATCCCTGTCTTGGTGGGCGGGTGGCCAAGCCAGTGGGACCAACGGAGGCCAGTCCTTCTCAGGCTAGGGTCAGCGTGCACTCAGGTGTTTAAAAGAATCTGCAGCTCGTAACCGTCACCAGCAGGTGAATGCACGCCCCCACGCCCATCACCCGGACCCCAGCAGGTGAGTGCACGCCCCCACGCCCATCACCCGGACCCCAGCAGGTGAGTGCACGCCCCCACGCCCATCACCCGGACCCCAGCAGGTGAGTGCACGCCCCCACGCCCATCACCCGGACCCCACTAACCTCTCTCACTAAGCTCATGAAACCAGAGACACAGCCGTCTGCCGACTGGTCTCAGACAGACACAGGGATCTTGCAAACCGACCCATCCACCCACGTGTCCGAGAAGCACCTTCTCCACGCGGCAGGTGTGGGCGCACTCTTGGGACGGCAGAGTCGGACTGAGTTAACTCCCCTCGCGTGTCGTGTCACTTAGAATTAAATCGCTCCCAGAACTGTTTGCTTCTGTTTTCCTTTCTGTATCAGAGCGTAGTGAGCAAAGTCAAAACCCAGCGCGCTCTGGAGGCCATCTGGGTCAAGGGCGGTGGGCACGGGGCCACGGAAGGTCAGACCCAGGACCACATTTCATCACCCCCAAAGAGTCTCGTTAATCATCGTGGTGGTTCTTTTAAAACTGAAATCCACAGTGTTAATCAAGGACTAACTGTTGTAAGAAAAGCATAAGAAGCCGCAGTTTACAAATAGATCACTGAACCGGGAGATGAGAAAAGCCTCTGGTCCCAGCTGTGCTGTGTCTGGGGAACTCTGGGCAACTTCCCGCTCTGGGTCACGGAGCCTGACCTTATGTGCACAGCAGAGATGAAAATAAGACGGATGGCTCTTCCGAAGGAGACACAGCAGCCGCATCCCTGCAGAGTGCACGGCCCTCCCTGCACCCCTGCAGTCACCAGCATCCACGTCCCCCAACAGCTGGGCTCACGTGCAGCTTTCTGATTCTTGCCAGAAACGATGCCCCGGGATCAGCATACCCAGGTCATCACCAGCAACCTCCAGC